AAAAAGGTTTTGATATCTAGACAAACCAAAAATATAAAATATAGTTTTCGTAGAGTTACAAATTATTTATGCAGAGCTCGAATCTCTTCTTCTTCTTCAATTTATCATTGACCTTACTTGCAAATGATGTTAATAATGAACAATCTTGAATTGATTGTTGTCATAGGAGGTTAAAAAAAATGATATCTTTTAATAGAAATTCTTTAGTTGAATAAGGAAGTCCAATAAAGATGATTTTGTATCGAATGACATAGAAAATGACTTGAATAAGAAGAGAATATTGAATTGGAATATGATAAAGAGTTAAACAATATTTAGAATTTTTTAAATCATTTATATCTAATCTAATTGTAGAAATTAATTACCAAGTATTTATAGTATTCATGATTTTGTTCAATATGTTTTTGCTGAAAATTGAACAATATGTATAAAGTTCAAATGACTGTAGAATTTATAATTTTGAGCAATATATATATTTTTTTTTCTGAAAATTTAAAGAATATATAAAGTTCAAAAAAAATATTATTTTATTTATTTATTAGTTTAGAATATTTAAAATAATACTAAAAAATTGAAAAAAAAATAGAAAACATATAATTATGTATATACTTTGCATAGATATGTCGCCCTTATTTGAGCCCCACTCTTGTTAAAAAATGTATTTTTTTAATGCAGTATTGATGAGAAATGTGTCGTTAAAAAATAAAGAAAATTTTTCAATTTGCGTGTAATATTATTTTAATGAAAAATGTGATTGAAATGGAGTTTAATCACTGTTGAAAATTATATTTTGAGGAAAATAAGGAAAAATTGCAACAGATGCCTCATACCTTTAAGGCATTAGCAAACCTTTTCCAAATCTTTAATTTGTTATAACCGTCACTCCAAACCTTTCGAAATGTTGCGACGGAGGTCCTTTTGGACAATTTTCATCCAAATGTCTGTTAATTGACTAAGAATTTTGACTTTAACCATATTTTGAATATTTTTGAAAGGATAAAATAGTAACTTCCATTTATTACATTAAAATAAGTGAGAAATTAAATTAGAACAAAATAAATTAAAAAAAAGAAGAAGCCAGTCATCGTCTT